GAACCAAGATACATCGTGTAAAGGTACAAGATCCCAATGATGAATGTAACTGTATTGTATACCTAAAATGTACCAATAAACTTAATGAAAAAAAAGAGAGAATCTACAAAAATCTAAAACAGGGCCAGGGATTTAGCTCAGTGGTTTCGCCACCTGCTGTGTAAGTGCAAGGACCTGAGTTCGATCCTTGGTACCAAAAACAAACAAACAACAACAACAAAAAATCTAAAACATGATAATGATGAAACTTTGAAAGCATTTTAAGATCAGGAACAAAATAAGTATGCTCAATATCAACACTTCCACCCAGCACTGTCCTTGGGGTACTAGCCAGAATGATATAGCAAGAAAAAAGAAAAGGCAAAGTAAAGCGACTCTACTTTGGAGATTATAATTGTGAATCTATAGTAAATTCCAAAGAACCACCAGGTAAGTTAATGGGGTAGCTTAGAAACATTGCTAGATACAAAATCAAAATTTAAAAGTCATATGCATTTCTATAGACCAGTAATTAATTAGAAAATATAACTTCAAAAATTATTTATGGTAACAAAGAAAAATATAAAGTCTCTGGGACTAAATCTAATAAGATTTAAAAAGCTTGGTGGAAAAGCTTATAAAAAGTTATTCAAGAATACTTAAATGAAATGGAAAAAATATATATATTTTTTTTTTATGGAAAAGAAGATTCAATATTGCCAAATTGCTAATTCTGGTCCAATTCACCTCTAGAGTCAATAAACATCTAATCAAAATTCCAACAAAGTTTTTCTTCAAATAGGTCTACCTGATTCTAAATATGTGAAAGAGTAAAGACAAAAAATAGGCAAGGTCCTTTTGAAGAAAAAGTAGGACAGATGTCTCAACGTGTCCTAAAACAAGTCTGAAGCAAAATACACACATGCATGCTTAAAACTACATATACATTTATCAACATCAGGTCTAAATGCCATTTAGATATCACATATATAAAAGGACATTGCTCTTACCAGCGCCGAGCGAGGTAATTAAAATTAAATTCAAATTGGCTCACCACGTCTCCTCCTGGGGTAAGAGAAGAACACATACATTTGATAAGTTAACAGTAACACAACATGTTTCTTCTAATACAAGTTCTCACAAACAAGATTATTCATTCTTCATCGGTACTTATTTCTGTTGTTTTAGACAGGCATGTCTTTAAGAAAAAGGAATATTTTAAAAATACCAGCTAGCAAAATATATGAATTAAGGAATTATCTAAAGAACTTTTTTACATCAAGGAAAAATAGACCATAGGGGTACTTTAAATAAGTACCATTCACCACCTAACTTTTGTTTCAAAGGGAATTTACTAGAGAAAAGACAGAGGTTTTCAATTTAAACCTAAAGAGATTAGGAGATATAAAATGCACTAGTATTTTTATCAAATACAAGTTTCCCTAAAATTATGATAGAAACCAATGACAAAATGTATTTTAAATAAACCAATGCACATACAACTACTTAGAAATACATCTCTATATTGAATAGAGATATGTCTTACTCTAAATGAAATATAGTATTAAAAATAGCCAGTTAAGCATAAGCTACTAGCAAAATATAAAAAATACATATTTAAATCACAGTAGTGATTTCATTATAAGTGAACTATTGTAATCACAGGAGACAACTTGGCAAATATAAATAAACAGTACCAAAATCACCAGCTGAATGGGCATCAGAATAGGAGCCATGAAAATCAATCTGAGAAAGAAAAAGAAGCATCTGATGTGTATCACAAACTACAGCCCAAACACATACTACTCCACAATCAAACGTGGTGCAGGGGCAGCGGGGAGGGGCCCGTCTGACCGGGTGAAGGCCTAAGGAGTCCTATAGGTGGACCCCTTTCTCATAGTAAGGATTTACTTTGTTTTTTATATTAGAGTTGAGTTGGATACTTAATGTCTGGCAACAAAGCTACTGCAGATAATTGTGCCTCCCAGGATGTATATACAAAATCTCCAAGGCCAAGTTTAACCTTCTAACAAATGGAATTATTATCAATTGGTGACCAGAGGGGTCTTCCAAAAGCAAAGCCACTAGCTAAGACCACAATTATCGGTATAGGGCTATGGCATTTTCACAGAGAAAACTAAAAAGAAAAAAAGCAGAACTGCTACTTTTAAAAAGAACCAATAGGCAGGTATTCATATCCTTATTAAGACGCATGGTTTGAATAAAATTAAACCTCGTCACATCTCTTGCCATTTGCAATGCATGCAAGTCATTCTAGTCTTGTGAGTGAATTTATCCAGGTCCAAGAATAAGAGGAATGAACAGGAAAAGACGACACTATAATCAAACACTACTTTAGGCAAGAAATCTTGTTTGTACATAACATCTGAATAACCTAGGGTTTCTTTTCCTGTAAGTCTGTTTTTGGCCTTGGGGAAGACAGTCACACTCCCACAATGTCAGCAGCTGCAGAGATGGATACTCACAGCCCCCATGGTCCTAAGGAAGCCCTGTTCAATGCCCAGGCTGTGCCAGCTCACGTCTGCCACCATGTGAGAGGTGATTCCAAACAAGAAGGCCACCAGCTTCTCGGTGTTCTGTAAGGAACAAATGGCAGTCCTGTGTGTTTGGGCTATTTTATAACAACAATCCTATGAAAAGCCTATGTATATAACATTTCCGTTAACGGGCCAGGGATTTAGCTCAGTGGTTCCGCTGCCTGCCTCACAACTACAAGGTTCTGAGTTCGATCCCCGGTACCAAAAAGAAAAAAAAATCAACATTTCCATTATCAAGACTCAACAAAAGATTAGAGGCAAGTACATTGTATCTTCTAGTCACCAACACCTACACAGATCTTTAAAAAATGTTCTGTAGTGTCTTAGAAGTGCTTTCAGATTACTATCGGAGCAAAATGACCAAGTGACATGCCCCAAACTTGTGTGTTTTCTCACAACTTTTTCAAGTATCAACTATGCATCTACTGTGTCCCAAGTGCTATGTTTGGCACTAACGGTACAATGGTAAGTAGCTGTCACAGAGCTAGGGGACAAGGTTCAAGTGGGCTAAGTGCAGATGCAAATACCTGGTAGGTCCAGGGTGCAGAGTTTTAGGATCGAGGGTGCCTACCTTCTCCCAGGGAAGGGGAAAGTTCTCCCGGATGTAATGGACACTTGCATTGAGGAACGGGGTCCAGTGTGTGCTCTCAGACACATTATGGAATTTTCCTGATGAAACAAAAGCAAGGCTCTGGGTTCATCAAAGTCAGAGTCTCCACCCAATCTCCTACTACTGGCACTGCTGTGATGTCCCTTCCCCTGGCTCCCTCCAAGCCCCCTGGTTTCTTCCACTGGTGTTCAAGGATACCTCCTGGAGTGGAACAGCACCTGTCACTTTGGGACAGGCAGGGGCCCATCCCTGCGGCCAGAGCCCTCCAGAAGGCACAGGGCAGCCCGAGCTGCTCCCAGTACCTCCCTGTACTGGCTGCAAAGGAGGCTAGAAGGTTCCACCTCTGTGCCCTGTTGAGGACCAGGGAGAATCAAGGCCTAACTGGCCTCCTCTGTGAGCACAAAGGAGAAAGGCTGCAAGCAGGGGTGACTGCATATTAGGGAAAAGCTAAGACAGCTGAGGTTAAGTTGTTTACCAGAGGATGTGCTAATGGATACGGGAAGCCAGATGAATCTTGTGTTACCCTGATTGCTTGTGTCCGTGTTTGGGTGAATAAAAGTGAGGTAAGCCAAAGGCTCGGGCTCCTCTGCTGCTGGACTATTAAACTGACTCCGTGTCTCTTTGTTATTCGTCCTCGTTAGCCCCAGAGTCAGGGAGAAACAAACTAGCTGGTCTAGGTCCCAGAGCAACGCTGGCCAGAGTCAGAGAGTCAGCAACAGGTGGTGGCCCAGCGTGGGACCAGGAACCTGGAGTCGCCTACAGTTGATGCCTGAACAGGGACCTCAGACCAAGGCTACCTTCAGTGCCCTGAAGCTCAGGAGACAAGTTTGGGTTGCTTCATTTATTTGTTGAGGAATTTAAAATATTTTCTTTATCTCTCATAGTGATTTTCCCTAAAAAGCACAAAAGGTGAATCTTCCACGGGCTTTCAAGCACTTTATAATAATCATTTTTAAATGGTATAGGCTTGAGGGGTTCATACAAGCATCACTGGAGTGGGTACCCCATGAGGCATTTCATCAGCCCAGGAAGGGTAGAAAAGACAGGGCCGGCACCCGTTCGCAATCTCCAAGTGCCACAGACTCTTCACGGGGTGCCAGTGTCACAGGATAAATGGAAGCAACATTCAGGAGCTCAGACCCCACCGTTTCACAGTTTTGTGCCATGGCTAAAGTAAAAACTGCCTGCACACCAGCATAAGTTATCAGTTTTTGTGAAAGTTCTTTTCTAAGAAGTTGGAACTAAAAAAATTTGATTTGGTCCAGCAGTTTTCGTAGAGAGAGAACTTTAAACAATTCCTACTCTGCAGAAAATAGTAAAAATCCAGAACGAAATATCAGTAGCTCTTTGGCCCAACTCCACTGAATTGAATCGCCAGATTTACCACAGCAGTCTGGTCCCTCCCTAAATCATACAGACCAGTAGCAAAGGTGGCCCCAGGGCATGCTGGATGCTGACCCCAGCCAGCCACTGTCCAAAGGGTAGGGCTCCTTTGTCCACACCATAGCACCTAACTCACTAGGGATCCCTCAGGTCTGTGCTAACCCTGGTAAGACCAGTTACGACTCTATTGGCCAATGTTGAATTAAATTAAATTACTGCAAACATGAAATATCCGTATAACAAAGAGGATTATTTTGGGCAATTAAGTATCTAAGAATGTTAAGTACTTTCAAACAATACAATAAATGTGAATCATCAGAAAGAAAGAAAGAAAAAGAGCTGGGAGTGGTGGAGCATGCCTATAATACCAGTTCTCAGGAGGCTGAGGCAGGATGATTGCCATGAGGCCAGCCTGGGCTACATAGTGAGACCCTGTGTCAAAAAACAAAACAAAACAAAAAAAACTACTGTTGAATTAGATGTGTATGAAGACAAACTCAAAGTTTAGAAAAATCCCTAAAAATCTAAAAGAAGTCTATATTAAAAATTCTCGTTATTGTTATATATTTAGAATTCTTTTTGTCTTTTTTTATTTATCAGTCATACTCCAGTCTCAATCTTTATATAATAGTGTATACTGCTTTATGAAAACACAGAAAATGCTAAATAGTTTGCATTCTACTTTTTTCAGAATATTTATGTGTCTTGTCTAGCATACACTAAAATGTTTCTCTAATGAACAAACAAAATCCTTTTTTCTTTTTTGCATAAGATATCAAAGGATTATTAAAATACCATGGGACAGAAGGGCTCCCATGCACATGGTGTGGGAAATGCTAAACTAGAAATAGGTTAGAAAGGGGGAGAACTATGAGACATAGGCAAAATAACAGGACCAGAAAATGACAATCAGACAAAGTGAAACAAGAGGAAAAAATTAAAAATGAGAAATCCAAAGCATAGGTACCTGGGATCCTAACTGCAGGAGTGAGTGGGCCCTAAATATTTCAATAACCCCAAAAGACATCATTATATATTTTTTTAAATGAGATAAAGACAGATAACCTTAAGACAGCAGATATATATAGTTTCTGCAAAACCTGGATGGCTTTTATTCATCTCTCCACACCCTCTCCATTCTCTCCCACCTGCAGAGAGACTCTGAGGTCACCTGCTGCAAGTGGCTTCATGGTCCCTCAGCTTTGGTTAGGTTGAGTTTGGCCAACAGAACAAGCAAGAGCTAAGAGAAAAGGGGAGTGAGAGTTAGGCTGGGAAGTCACAGCGGGCTGGCTGCTCCCTCCAGGTGGCCTTCTTCATGAAGCTCTTTTTCGTCTGCAGGTCTAGCTCTTTGCCCTGCCCTATTCCTTGGGGTTCCTTAAATCCAGTCCAGAACTGTGAAATGAATGGCTTACTGAACACCCCTCTAGGCTCTCACTTTGAATGTGACTTCTGTGCTCTGACATAACCCATGAGCCCAGTTTATGGATGACACTACCTTAGATTTGCATAACACTTCTCAAATATTCCTCCTGAAGGCCAACAGTCCAGTGAATAGGCAGGGCCTGCATGATCACTGCTACCTCACAGGCATAGAAATTCCACAATTTTCAAGGTCACATTCTGACAGGCAATATAGAAGAAACACAAACTCAAACCTTTGATTTCTTACAAAATGTTTTCACCTTGCCACAAAGCAGTAAAGCAAGTAAGGACAATAAAAATATGACTCATCAGAAAATAAAATTTTCTGAATTTCTGTGCTTAAATGGTTAAGTCATTGACTACTAATAGTGGAAAACATATTGTGTCATTATATACTTTTAAAGTCGGAGCCATTCTTATTAACCAAGTAAAAGTGACATCATTTGGTTTGTCATCCTTACCTGCAAATCTTACCTGATTTGCAGAAGCTGGGGTAAAAAGCATCAGGAAACACAGCCCCAGCCTGATATGCATCTTGGTGTTCTAGTAACAGCTGGAAAGCCAGAAAATACAGAAATTAGTGGGCCAGAGGCACCAAGCTGGCAAACACAAAACCCATCAATTTCTAGCTATGAGATCTGGGACTGTCAAGGGAAGGGATGGATGGAAAGAAGGGGAACAGGCAGGCAAGCATAATAAATAAATAAATAATAAAAACTCTTGCATAATCCAAGACAACACATTACAATATATAACTTCAGGTTCTTGCCTACCAAACATTGCCTAATTAGAATGCAACAAAGATAACCTGTTTAAATTTCATCTCCTGACATTTTTTCTGTCTTCCCACTACAGCAGGATTTTCTTGAGTATATTTTATTGATCCAGAGCTGGTTTGTGATAAGATTTGCGAGGATACACAGTGAAATGAGAAAAATACAGAGAAAGATAGACAGATAGGTGTATACATACACATTCACAGCAGTTTGTAGCTGCTACCTCTGATTAGTCTAAGACTGTGTCCTTTGTGCTTCTATGTGGTTACAAAGGTATCCTCTCCTATTTAAAATTATGTGAAAGAGATGGTAAGATTTTCTTTCCAATGTTCTTCCTCGGGAGAGAATGGCTCCCTGGGTCCATCCTGACTCTTTATGTTGTGCCTGGCAGCATGTACCTAGACTGCCCGCCCTGAGACTGATGGAGCACAGCCTCCTCCATGGACCCCACTTGTTTGGGCTAACGTGGAAGCACGTGATGCTTGTGCAACAGAGGTGGCAGAGGTGTGGCTGAGTGTCCTACAGGTTCATAGTCAAAGTACAGGGCATCCAGTTTTGCAAGAGGACTGTGGCTGTGGCGATGTAGTCTCACAGCCAATTGTCAAGGTGGTGGCTTCTTAGTTTCCAAACCACCTATGAGTCCACTGAATCTTCAGCTAGCAAATGGGGATGTGGCTGTTACTTCCCATCAGCTGAGAGTAAGGTGCAGCTTGGCTAGTGGCTCTGCTCTCACCCCTAACGCTACAGCCCTGGGGCTCTAAGTCAACCTAGCAGCCCCTCCGCATCCAAGGATAACCCTTGCCAACTACCTGGTTAATGGCCAGTAGACACTGCTGATCCCTGCTGCTAGTTTCTGGAGCTCTTCTGGGCCAGCAGTGGCTCACATTTGTAGCTTTTTCAAGGCAACATGCTCCAGGATAAGAAGCCAGAGTAAATTTACAGGACCTTCCAAGCCCTCACTACCCAGATTTTTAGGACCACTGATGTGAGGCTTTTTTTTTTTTTTTAAAAAAAAACAGAGCCTGTGCTACAGCACAAAGAGGGCAGTACATCAGAAGGATCTCTTCTAGATCAACACAAGGAGTATGCAGGAATTGCTGCTTATATAGTACCAGCAGACCTGTGATTGGCCCAATATTCAAGCCTATGATTGGCTCAAATTTGAGCCTTGAGCTTCTGCACAGCAAGAGAAACCACCAGCAGTATGAAGAGACAACCCACAATGTGGGAAACAATCTTCACCTGCTCTTCCTCAGACAAAGGTCTACTATCTCGAATCTATAAAGAACTTAAAA